GCACATGTGAAATTTTGGACTAGAGTAAACAGTGTTGCATTGCTGTACTGAGACACTAGTGTGGGGAGCACTGTCTATAGACACAATGTTTTCTAGGAAATTTGAAGTTCTATAACTCTTGATTTGCTACACAGGTGAAGTCAGTAGCAGAGGAGGTAAAGTCCAAAGGTCGCGAGGCCCACGCCTACGTGGTGGACTGCTCGAAGAGAGAAGAGGTGTACGAAGCAGCCGGGAAGGTTGCTAACGAGGTGGGTGTGGTCTCGGTCCTTGTTAACAATGCCGGAATTGTGACGGGACGATGGCTGATGGAGGCAAAGGACGACAGTATTGAGAGGACCTTCAACGTTAACACTCTGGCCCACTATTGGGTTAGTGGTGTGTGGTGTGTGTGTGTGTGTGTGTGTGTGCGTGTTAGAGTGAAAAAGTGAGAGATGCAGCAATAATATATTTTGCTGGAGGAAAACGTTGTGACACTGTTTGCAGCGCTAAGAGGAAAATAGAACAGAAAACAAGACTCTCCCTGCACTACTGTGTACAAACTCTCCCACTTTACTCTCTCTTTCTATACCACATACACTCCAACACACACACACTCTCCTCTCCTATAGACCGTCAAGGCCTTCCTCCCGGGAATGATGAAGAGAAACCGTGGCCACATCGTGTCGATCGCCTCTGTGATGGCGTTTCAAGGAGTCCCAAAACTATCGGACTACTCTGCCAGTAAGGCCGCGGCGCTGTCGTTTGCAGAGTCGTTGAGGTACGAGTTGAGGAGGCAGGGGAAGGATGGGGTCCACATCACCGCGATATGTCCCTACCACATCAGGACCCAGCTGTTTAAAGGTGGGCTCTAATTTGAGTCTCAGTCATTTTGTCACTGTGGATTTTACGATTTGAAGGAAGTATATAAGGAGTATATTAATTTTATAGTAATCATCACAAGATTAATTCAGTATGTATATATAATACTGATGCACTTTTAATTCACTGAAAATGAATCCAGCATGCACCATTCCTAGGATGGATGGATGGAGGGGTATTCCAAAGCTTATGCTCATGTCGTGATTTTAAATGTACCCATAAAATTACTGTTCTCGTGTGTATGCACCGGAGGAATCTCCTCTGAATTATTCATAATTACTCTCTGATGACAGGAATCACCACAAGGTTCCCGGTGCTAATGCGGTCGCTGAGTCCCGATGAGGTGCGGCTCGAACACTCCAGGCCATGGCCGAGAGACAGTTTATATATATATAATATTTATATAAATAAACTACTAAATATTAATATATCTATATCTTATATTATCTCATCGTTTAAGATAAAACATATCACATCATCAAATTATAATTTATCATCATTATATATCATATACTTTACATTTATATATCATATCTCCATATCAATACATAATCAAACTCTATCTTCTTCTCCCTATTCTCTCCTCTTCCCTCTCCTCTCCTCCCCTCCTCTCCTCCAACTCCTCTCATTCCCTTTTCTCCTACCTCTTCTTCTTCCTCCTACTTTCTCTCCACTTCCTCTCCACCTCTCGCTTCTCATCTTCTCTCCTCTCCCCCTCCACTCTCTCCCTTCGCTCCCTCGCTCTCCTTCTTCCCTTCTCTCTCCCCCTTCTCCTCTTGCCTCTTTCGCCTCATCCTCCCTCCCTCTTCTTTCGCTCATCTCCCCTTCTCTCTCTCCTCCCTCCTTCTCCCCCTCTCTCTATCTTTCCTACCCTCCTCTCCCCTCCTCTCCCTCCTATCCTCTCTCTCCTCTCCTCTTCCTGCTCCTCCTTCTCCTCTCTACTACTCTCTCTCACTTACCTCCTCTCTCTTCTTACCCCCTCCTCCTTCCTCCTTTCCTCTCGTTTAAATATAGAACTATCGAAACGCTTGTATTACAACAAGGAATAAACGGAAAAAGAAACCTAAGGCTGAAGCGGGGGGGGTGACAAGTAAACATGAGGGGCAAGTTGGGGTACTTGGGGGGTGGGGACAGGGGGGATCACTGAAGAAGGTGATTCACTTATCCCATTATCCATTTTTATTTCATATATAATATTATATAATACCTATAGCATCTATTATCTAAATCTAAACTCTATCAACATATAAATACTTCTCATCTACTATTTTGTACTCAAACTATACTACTCTCACTTCTCTACTTCTCCACTCCTATTCTCTCCTCGTTATCCCATCTCCCTATTTTCTTATCCTCCTCCTCTACTCCTCCTTCTCCTCTTTGCCTTACTTCTCACACCTCCTTCCTCTATCTCTTCTTCTAGCCTCCCTTTCCCTCCTTCCCTCTTCTCTCTCCTCCCTTTCCTCCTGCCTCCCTCCTTCTCTCGCTCCTCCTCCACCCTCTCTTCCTCTCTCCCTCTCTCTCTCCCTCCTCCTCCTCTCCCTCCCTCCCTGTTTCTCTCTCCTTTCCTCTTCCTTTTCCTTTCTGCTCTCTTTCTCTCCTCTTTTCTCCTTCTCCCCCCTTCCCCCTTTCTCTTATCTCCTTACATCCTCTCTCTCTCCTCTCCCTCATCTCCACCTTCTATCCTCCTCTCTCCCTTCTTCTCTTCTTCCTTTCGCCTTTAAACTCTCCCTTACTCTTCCTCTCCTCATATCACTTCCTCGTCGAAGCGTTCTTGCCCCCCCCCCCCCCATTGCTCCCACCATCGCCCTCTTTGCCAAGGCGTACGTTGTGGTGCAACTGTTGTGTGTTTGTGATTTGCAACACTTTGTTGCGTTGGACAAAGTTGCATCCAACTGTAATTGGGAGAGAAAGGGGTCTATGTGGGTTGTATAATAGAAACAAAGTCTCCTAGGTGTAAAATGATTATTGCTCGTAATTTGCAGGGTCCTCCCCACTGAGGCCACTGACGAGGTGTTAGACGCTCTGGGTGCCGGGAGTGGAATGGACACTTTTGTCGGAAGAAATAAATCAGACTAAATTTTCAATGCAGAGCTTGATTTTTGGGTGGAGTGTTGTCTATTTTTTACATTACGTGATCTGAGGAAGCGCACGTGTGCTCGGCGCATGCGCACTTCCACCCGGTAAACGCGTAAACTCCAAAATTACAGGCGAGCGCCGTCTCTATGGTCGAGCCTCCAACATAATCAGTTATACTGGAGTCCAGCGCCGCAGGAATGGCGTTCTCGCTCGTTCTCAACATCCTTGTCCTTCTCTGGCACACGCTCAGCGGGTCGTGCGAGCTCTGTTCTCCTGCCGCACGCGCTACAAGTCTCCGGACGTATCCTCAGACGTCTGTCTCATAACGGGCGCCGGCCAGGTATGTATGTAGCTACTCTTCCATAATACGCCCTCTTTACTCAGTGGATAAAATGTTTTCGGTCGTTTTCTCGTCTCTAGGGTCTGGGCCGACAGCTGGCGCTGCAGTTTGCGAAATGCGGAGCGACGCTGGTCCTCTGGGACATCGACGGGAGAAAGATTGGGGCCGTGGCCGAGGAGATACGGAAAGAGGGCGGCGCTGCTTATCCGTACGTGGTGGACTGCTCTAAGAGAGAAGAGGTGTACAGGATGGCGGGGAGAGTCAAGGAGGAGGTCGGGAACGTTGCTGTTTTGGTCAATAACGCTGGCATCGCCACGGAGAAAGCGTTCGTCAATGGAGACTTGAAGGATGAGGAGATAGAGAAGACCTACGCTGTCAACGCTCTGGCTCTCTACTGGGTTAGTAAGGTTTCCGTCAACTGATAACTTTTATACTTTTGTACTTTTACCGTACTAACTCAGTGGTGTTGCAGAGGGAGGTGGAGCTACCAAGGTTTATGTTTACCGGATACAAATTGAGTTTGTAAACTTGAGGAGCTATGGGTGCAACACCATGGTTGCAGATGGCTATATACTACTGCTGAGCAAACACAAGACTTGCTTACCTGGTCAAGCCCACAAGCCCAGCTCCCATGCAGTGAAAGTCAACGCAAACATTTTACACTGCTGGGGACATAGAGAATCGATAGCTGTCGCGAAAGCAACTGCATTCCTTTCTCTCACAAAATAGCTGTACCTACAAGACATAGCTGTGTGCACTGGACACTTATGTGAGTGTGTGTTGTGTGTGTGTATGGGGTTGAGCTTGCAGCTGTTCTCCTGGGAAATAAACTGCATCCTCCCCAGACCTTTTTTCAGCGGTTTTATATTCATGACCGCTCCATTAATTCTAAAGCGTGGTATTGTCCATTTATGGATACAGTGTGCTAATCGGCAGTCCACAGAGAGTTGCTAGGATCAAAGACAGTGGCTCAAATTGTCTTGTCTTACCTCTTTTCCTAGTCTATTGTAGCCTGAATGGAGGATGAACAGCCAATGATTGTGTCACTCACCTCTGTACACCTATCTATACCTCCATTGTACCACTCTCTCTAAGACAGATATACATTATGTATTATTGTAGAGGGTGCATAATATAGACACTGCATATACTGGGGTGGGATCCAATGCAGTTAATGTTGAGTGAGTGTGGCCTTGGGTGAGCGTTATTCAGCTTGTGAGTGGACAAGCCTGCTGCTTACTTCATTTCCCTGTGTTTACAACCACAAAGTGTGTAGGAGTGTATAATGATCTGCTGTTTGTGGGTCTAATTCACATTCTATTGGCACACAATACATGCCCAAGAGCCCACCAATTATAGCTCTTTGGCTGAGGGAAATGGAGGAAAGTGTGGTAATGTCTGTTTTCATATGAGGTACGTCGAATGAACCAATATTCTGTGAGCTAGAGCACTTGGTCCTCCATAACCTCCGTAGCATCTGGCAAGAGGAACCTGCAGTATTGGTATGAGTGTCACTCTAGCGAAGGCCACTCCCCCTATAGTAAGCCCATAATAGAGTGGCTAAGTCACGTTAGTATGCTTGAGGTTTTTTGGCTGTGATTGTTAAATAGTATTGGTATGTGTGTTACTCTAGCAAAGGCTCTCCAGACTTATAGTAAGCCCATGACTGAGTGACTAAGTCATGTTACAGTATATTTAGTATGCGTGAGGCTATGTTTGGTAGAATTCTCTAATCACTTAATGTCAGAGGTACTGCATATAGTCAACAACTGCATATAGTCAACCAAGGAGCATCTTTTGTTTCGATTCAGTGGCGAATCACAGATTGCTGATTTTTTTTCTCCTGCGCCACAAAATTATTGTCCCTCCCACAAAGTTAGCAGCACTTCGCGGTTGGTTGGTTATGAAACTGCAAATAAATCGACAGTTTTCTCCCGTAAAAATTGCCCGCTACATTATACAGCATGTCCCTGTGGGAGGGGTGGGGGAGGTAAGGTTATGATAGTGTGTGTTTTAAGGACACCTCCTCCTAGTGGTGTTTTTGTTTTCCTAAACAAACTCATCTTTGCGGCTAACAGAACTACCCTGTTTTGCTGTTCTCCCACCTAACCTTGGACTTGTTTTTCCATCCCAACATGCACCGCACATTAATGTACTTACCGCCCATTTACACTCTGCTACATGTACATGCAGTTGTTACGTAATGTTGTGTATGTGCCCCTCGGGAAATTGGGCGGGTAAACCAACAACACAACTCCAAATGTTGTCAGCTGCTGCGAAGGGATTTGTAATGATGACGCAATGGGTGACACTTTCAACCATGTGCACCACCACATGTTATGCACAGACATGCAAATTGTATGTACAGAATTATGTATATACATATTGACAGCTAAAGATAGGAGAAGTACAACCAAAAAGGAGGAATTTACAAGAAAGCAAAAGGGAGAGAAATAGAGTCGGAGAGGGGAATAGTATGGTGGAGAGAAACGTGAAAAAGTGAGAATCAAAGCCTCCGTTCACTGCTGTGGCAAAGTAAGGTGATCGAAAGTTGTAATGACTTGTGTTGTACCCACCTGCACACCTGCCAGTTGTAAATGGATCCACTCAGTACGGTGCCACTCTCGTGAGTGTTTTTCAATCAAACCACACACATGACAGGTTGTTTGTTGTTCCAAATGCATTCACTTTGCATTTCCTATTGCACGGTACCTTCACCTCCCTCTCTCTCTCTCTCTTCTTCATGTTTCTCCTCTCTCTCCTCTCTCTCCTCTCTCTCCTCACTTGCAGACGGTGCGAGCCTTTCTTTCCTGGATGCTAGACTCCAACTACGGCTACATCGTCAACATCGCATCAGTAGCTGCGTTCGGAGGATACCCTTACTCTGCCGACTACTCCGCTTCGAAAGCGGCGGTGCTCAACTTCTCAGAGGCGCTGCGTTCAGAGCTCATAGCCACGGGGAGGTCGGGGATCAGCGTGACCTGCGTCTGTCCCCTCTTAATCAACACGCGCATGGTGTGGGAGAGCCGGGCACTGAAGAAGGGGCACAGCGAGCCAACGATGGAGCCTCACTACGTCGCTCGGAGAATTCTGACAGCAATGGCCGACAAGCAGTTTTTACTGGCTCTGCCAGCAATTCTCCACCTGGCTAGGTTCCTCAAGAGGTAAGTGAACTTGGACCCTGTTTTATGCATTACCTGTAGAGAGGATGTAGTCTGCAGACAGAGTATTATGGTGGGAAGAGTCTTCAGATGGTGTGTTAAGTCACTTGTGGTTCTGTGGCTATGAATTATGGTTTATATGGGATCTTGTACGGTGGGAGTATTTGGAGGGAGAGTGATTATGGATAATGGTAGGGAGCCGCCCAATTTACCAGAAATCATAATTGTCATCGTCGTCATCATTTATTTTCTCTTTCAATTATTCTCTCTCTTCTTTTCCAGCATGCTACCTCAGAAGGCCTACGACACGTACCTCTTCAAGCGATTCTTCGAGAGTGCTAATCCTCTCAACCTCACCCGCGTTCCTTCCTCTAGCTCCAACGACTGACACGATTCACTGGTGTTTACTTCTGCAGCCCCTCTGAGCTATAAGAATTATTGTTTATGTATCACTTGTAGAGACAGTCAAACAGGTGTAAGTTGTGACATCCTATATACATATTATTTTTGTAGTACACTGCAGTGTAGCGCGCGCGCTATTACCAGAAGTTCAATGCGCATGCGTAATAAGCGCGCGCCGCCAGACGACTGGCCGGCCAAGGTTCACAAGAGGTCAAGTCTCAACACACACTCGACCCAGAAACGTGTATAGGGAAGAGAGGAAGACGCGTCCCGCCGTTGTGCTCGGAGCAAGCTTCCGACGAGGCCAGCTGCATCTCTGCAGACCTACACACCTGGACTAGAGTCCCCAGAGCTAGGATCGGCCGAGGTGAGCGGGGAAGTGTCTGAGGCGGCCGGGGAAGGGGGCCCGCGCTCGCGGCGGTCATGGCGTCCCAGTGAGAGCAGCCCTGGAAGGTAGCCATCGCTGGAACCCACATTTAGTCTGTTTTAGGCAATAAAACGGCAAGCCAATGAGGTCCAGCGTCGTTTTGTGAGGTTACAGCTAGCACATGCGGTAGGAGGAGGGAAGAATGACATGCTGTTACTTAGCTTACCTTGTTTCTGTGTTGTTCGTGTGTTTGTGGAAGAAGAGGCATTCATAGGAGTTGATAGCTAGTGCTGGTTGAGAGGCAAATACATTTAACCATGTATATTCTTCCTGGCATCGAATCCTTCATGTTATCCCTGGAAACTGACGAGAGCTTGATGAAGAGAGAGAGAGAGAGAGACAGACAGACATAGAGAAAAGGAGAAGGAAAGAGGCGATGGCAGAAATTTGCTTGATATGCTGAGCAAGCAGCTATAGTGTTAGCGATAGCTGTACCACTTTTGGTTGGATAAGGTACAGTGTCGTTCTACACAGGAGGTGATTGACCTTGCAGCTAAAAAGAGATGGATATCATGTTTCAAGCCTTTGTCTCTCAAAAATGGGCCATGTTGCATTCTGTACTAGGTCTGCGCTTAAACCAGTAAGGCAAACACTAGCACATTCAGGAGAAAGTTATACCGGTTTTTGTTACCCTAGCTCTGTGAAGGCCTGCTGGACTGCCCGGCATGCTGCCATAGCTCAGAAGACCTGCGAGGCTGCCCGCAATGCTACCATAGCTCAGAAGGCCTGCGGGACTGGCCCAGCATGCTACCATAGCTCAGAAGGCCTGCGGGACTGGCCAGCATGCTACCATAGCTCAGAAGGCCTGCGTGACTGGCCAGCATGCTACCATAGCTCAGAAGACCTGCGGGACTGGCCAGCCATGCTATATACCATAGCTCAGAAGGCCTGCGGGACTGGCCAGCATGCTGCCATAGCTCAGAAGGCCTGCGGGACTGGCCAGCATGCTGCCATAGCTCAGAAGACCTGCGGGACTGGCCAGCATGCTGACCATAGCTCAGAAGGCCTGCGGGACTGGCCAGCATGCTACCATAGCTCAGAAGACCTGCGGGACTGGCCAGCCATGCTATATACCATAGCTCAGAAGGCCTGCGGGACTGGCCAGCATGCTACCATAGCTCAGAAGGCCTGCGGGACTGGCCAGCATGCTGCCATAGCTCAGAAGACCTGCAAGACTGCACCGTTAAAGCCATTCTTCAAGAGTGCGAATAACAAAAGCTTCGAGTGAGACAATAGCAGGAAATTAGGAATTTTTTTAGGGGAAGGAGTTGTCCAGAATACATATCTTGGCCTATGGCCTGTCAGCAGCATGTGCAATCTCCGAATGTCGGAATTCTCAGTTGTTACCGAAACGTACACGTTCTAATGTTTCCCACTGAGCAGTGCTTTTAACCACACGTTTTTAATGCAGTGTTGGATAAGGACTGAATTACGTGGTACATTGTACATTTTAACCAAGATTGAACGTAGTATCAGGAAACTATAGCTAAATGTAGTATGTGGACATACGTAGTGTGTGTTTGTGTACATTATGGTTGACAGTTGGTGGGGTAGGACTGGTACACAGACTGGACAAGTTGATAAAATAAACCCTTTTTGATTCGGAAGTGAAATGCGCACACAAGGGCTGTCTATGTAGGCGATGGTGGTAGGTGTGGCAGGCGGAATACCATCCTGGCCTGTTATGGCGTTTCAGTTCTTGTATGAGCCAGAACTGTCTCGCCGCTCAGCCAGAACTGTCTCGCAGCTCAGCCAATGGAGTTTTCCCTTTCCTCCATACCACCTTCAGCCTCCCTTTGTCCCCACACTCTCTTTGTTAGTGACAATGAACAGCTCACTTTCCCTCCCCTCCCTGCCCTCTGTACCTACCTTGTGAAGGAATCTCTGTAGGTGTTGAGTGATGTGTTTGACTTACTTCCCCTTCCTCCTCTCTTCATCCCCTCTCTCTCCTCTCTCCCTTTATCTCTCTCTTCTCTCTCCCTCTCTCTCCCTTCTCTCTCTCCCTCTCTCTCTCCCTCTCTCTCTTCGGTTCCTCTCTCTCTCCCTCTCTCTCTCTCTCTCTCTCTTCCTTCCTCAGGTGTAAGTAGTGTTACTAGGTGTTCAGGAGGAATGTCTCATGAAAGAGACCCATTTATTACCCCCACCTTTATCGTGGCTCCTTCAGCCATCAGAGCTGTTTTTGGCCAACGACCCTGCCTCGGCTAACAAATGGCTTCCACTAATACACACGTACAAATGGAAAAATGAGAGAATGAGAGAGAGAAAGGTAAGGGAGGGAGAGGCGTGTCTGTATGTACCATGGAAGGTGTTGATGACATCATATGATGTCACGGTGATGTAATCCTAGTGATACCCACCAAAGCTGGCAAAGCTACCAGCAGCAAGACGTGACACGTAGAACTTTGTGCCAGCAAGAGAGGTTGCTATGGGCGACCTTGTGTTGTAATGTCACATGATCGTAGAAAACTAAATTCTATCGCCGTTCTCTCACTCTTGTGACCCAGTCACATGTGTTCAGTGTGGCATTAATTGGAGACGGAATGCGAACCAGGGAACATTCTAGACATAGTTGGATTGCTGCCACCTTACTTCTCTCACATTTAGTCCCTCGAAGTACACTTACTTCTCTCACATAGTTGGATTGCTGCCACCTTACTTCTCTCACATTTAGTCCCTCGAAGTACACCTGACTTCTCCTCACATATTGGATTGCGCCACCCGTTTACTTTCTCTCACATTTTAGTTCCCTGCGAATTACACTTGGAGTCCCGCTATGGCATAGTCCATAGATTGCGCAGTTTGTACACACATCATTGTTGTAATACTTTGTACGTTTTAATACAAGGTCTGTATATTACATAACTATTATATGAGTTTTTGCCTCTATACATTTTAATTTTGCACATGTATGTAGCGGCAAAATAATACCTGGAATACATTAATACGTGGAGAGTCCCAAGCCATTAGGGGAAGTATATAACCATGAATGTTGTTATACATGATGCCACAGTTGGGTGTCTTAGACACGTGTGAGTGGTAGAGTGCCATACTAGGAAATGTGTGGTGGTGGACAGCTGCTTCAGAAGCCATGAATATCTTTTAGCAGTTTTTCAGTATTGTGTATGATGTGGTGGGTCATAAGACAGTGTTATATACTTCCCTTTCCCCACCCTTTTACCTCTCTCATTATCTTCCTCCTCCCCCTTTCATGTCCTTCCCTCTTCCCACACCCTCTTTTCCCTCTCTCCCTCCTTCCCTGACACCTTTTCTCTCTCCCTCCTTCCCTGACACCTTTTCTCTCTCCCTCCTTCCCTGACACCTTTTCTCTCTCCCTCCTTCCCTGACACCTTTCCTCTCTCCCTCCTTCCCTGACACCTTTTATCTCTCCCTCCTTCCCTGACTCCTTTCCTCTCTCCCTCCATCCTCCATTCTCTACAGAGTGCCAACACTCACTCAAACCAACCAAAACCCCACCACTAGTTCTTTATCAATCCCTCCCTGCCCCATGGCTGTCCCTACTACGTCAACCCATCACATAGCGAGAAAGTTTCCGGCCCAGGAAACCTGGGACAGGTTGGAGAAGAACTCTGTCTCCGATTCCTCCAAACGCGACCTGGATACCCAGCCCGACTTTCTCCCTCTCTTCACCAACCACCTCAACTCTTCGGCTGCGAGCACCAGCGAGCCTACCTTCTCGACGGAGAAACGGAAGATAATCGCCGGGGAGAGCATCGAGCGTTGCACCCCGTGGCGGACGAAGGAATACAACTGCGACCCGGTAGGCCTGCACGAAGAGATAGAAGATTTCTTCAAATACATGACCCCTAGACCCTCAGAATTTCGGATGCGCCTCGAAGTCGCCGATCGGATATCTCAGATTCTCAGACGAAAGTGGCCGCAGGCGGATGTCCACATGTTTGGTCGTTCTTCTCGTCGTCAGCTTCCTCCAGCTCCACCCACGCAACGCCGCAAACGACCCGGACGCGAACCTCGGCGTGCTCCTAATAGAATTCTTCGAGCTCTTCGGTCGCAACTTCAACTACATGAAGACGGCAATCACGGTCCTCGACGGGGGGTCCTACTTCTCAAAAGAGGACATCCCGGATCACGAAAACGCCATTCTCTACATCGTGGATCCCACTAATACCAAGGAGAACGCCAGTCGCGGTTGCTACGGCATGTGGCAGGTGAAGATGGCCTTCGAGCAGGCCTTCCTGAAGCTGCACAGACGCACACTGACGCGAGAGACACCAAGTCCTCGACAAGAGAGTCTGCTGGCCGAGATCGTCGAGTTGTCTGTTGAAGTCGACGAGTATCGCAACTGGATTGACAGTACCTGGGTGACTCCACCCCACTCACCCCAATCCTACCTCATGGTTTACTCCGGGCACCCTCCCCCGTCGTCCTACCCCGTTTTCCACACCCCGGGGTCTGTGGTACCCCAATCCTACCCCTACCTCCCCTCGTCCTCCCACATGGATTACCCCTCGTTCCCCTTCCCTCCTCTCCCATTCACCCATCCCCCTCACCCCACCCCATCTGCTAGTACAAGCTCCTCCCACCAACAATCATCCACAGCTGACTCTTAGCCCAAGTCACCCTTCTCACATTCCCCTCTCCCTTTGTATGGATGTGTGCCTCCTCCATCGATAGCTGTGGTCCTTCATCATGCAATTAGCTGCCGTCAACATCCTGTTTACGTCTTTGTTTATACTCCTCTTCCTCTGTCCACAAGGACTGTTCCTATTCTCTTGAATTTTTGTCAGCACCTCTCTCTCTCTCTCTCTCTTTGCTTTTCTCTCTCTCTCTCTTCTCTCTCTTTGCTTTCTCTCTCTCTCATCCAATGCAGTGTGCCATGTATGTATTCACAATGTATCATAATGAACTCCAACCTTCCTTCACATGTGAAATTATGTCAGTCCTCCATACATTTTCTCTGAACCTTCACAAGCTGCTGGCTAGCTGGATACAATATTCCACGAAAACCCTTCAGTAATCTATAATAAATGTAGTATATTGGCCATTCTAGTGATCTCCAGATAACCTTCAGTAATCTAGTAGGTCATTCTAGTAAACTCCAAGGCACTCCTAGTTATAGGCCACTAGTAAACTCCCTCAGTAATTTCTCTAGTAAACCTCAGGGTCTCCCACAGTGCACTCTAGTAAACTCATGGGCACCTATTTGGTATCTACAGGATTCCCTCTGTAATTTCTTCAGTAAACTCAAGGCCACCATAACATTCTAGAAAACATTACTCAGTCTAATAAAAAATGAAGCACTGACGAAAGTGCAGAACAAGAAAGTGAATACACAAAATAATGGTTACGTCACATTATGTCATTGAGAGAGGAAAAGTAGGATGGTACAAAAAAGCTCAGAAAGTAATCACCGAATTATGTCGTGCTTTATAATGGACCGTACAAAAATGAGAAGAGAGGATACAAAATGAGAGGATGAGAAAATAAGTGAAGTGAAGATAAGAAAGTGAGTATAGAACATATGGCCACGTCACGTGTGCACAAAAGAGATTTACAGGGCGGTAAAAAGACAGGAGAAGAGAAAATTGCAATTATCACAAATTGAAACTGAACGTAACGTGGTGATGTAATTATGTCAGGGAAAGGTATGTGGAAGAGAGGAAGAGAGAGAAGAGGAGACGAGAGAGATGGTTATGATGAAGACTACCGCTGGGTGCCCTTACAAAATTGATACAGAGTGAGAGGAATTGGGAGGAGTGGAGAAAGGAAGGTAGCCATGATGAAGACACGAGGAGTTCATCATGAACTACTGGTGAGAGAGTGTTCAATGGAGGAGGCCAGGGGAGAGAGACCAATGGACTTGAGAGAGTCCGTCAGAGTTCTCCAGGTCACCGGCTGCTTCCTTTCT